GCCTCAGCGGCCAGGGCGAGGCCGGAATTTGAGCCCCTCCTCCGCCATCTTGCCTCCGGCTCCTCCTTCACCTAACACATGCCGCCTGGCCGCGAGGATGGACTCTCCGACAGGAGAGCCCACGCCAGGCCCAAACACCCCCTCAGCCTACTCCACTGCTGAGGAGGAAGCTGATGCGATTACCAAGCCGATCCTAGAAGCTATCGACGGCTGTAAAGCCGCCCTCATAATCTGTATTGACCACCTGGAGACGGAATGCACCCTGTTCCACCATGATCTGGAGAAGATCCGGGGCACGCTGACCACAGCAGAGGAGTGTATCTCAAATGTAGAAGATACCACTTCCCACAGCGCGCTGCTAACAGAGCTAGAGAAACAGGTAAAAGCGTTACAAAATCGGGCAGACGATGCTGAGGACAGGAAGTGTAAAACATCATGAGGGTGGTAGGGCTCCCAGAAGGAGTGGAAGGCGCCAGGCTGGCCATATCTGCTGAGCAGCTTTCCAAACAACTGCTGGCCCTGGATGTGGTATTTCTGACCTATGTGGTGGACGGGCCCATCGAGTTCCCATGGGTTTGCACCCCCCGGGTGCCACCCCCAGATGCTTCTTGAATTACCAGGACAGGGACATGATCCTGGCAGAAGCCCCAATACACCCTGCACTACAGTATGAAAATGCCAAAGTTATGTCCTTCACGATTTTCTCAGCTGAGACTCAAAGAAATCGCCATTCCTTCAGTACAGTACAGAAACGCATGCAGGAGAAAGGCCTTCAGTACAGTCTACTGTACCCTAACAAGCTCTGGGTCCAACACAAAGGCACTGTAAAAGTATCTGATTCCCCGCAAGAAGCTAGTGAATGGCTTGACACAATACAATAAGAGTCTAGATTTATCTTTGGGATGTTGCGGTCACTCAGTGCCTTGTCTTTATCCATCTTCTGCCACCCGACTGGATATTGGATTCAGCTACCTCTTTGGGGTCCATGTTACTGTTCCCAGGGCCATAGTTTATTCAGTTTACCCTATTACCTTGGTGCAATAGCACACCTCCTGAGAGCATACCTATATATGATATCCTTGTCCTTCTGTCTTGAGAAGGGGGTTGCTCCTGGATTGCACACACTTCTGCTCTACAGAGCTCACAAGGAGAAAGCTTCGTGTCAACACAGCCAGTGGAACGGTCATGCACGGCGGTGGTGCACTCCACACTGCAAGTTTTGGGAAATGGCTGCATACTTTTTTAGTTGATGTTTTTGTTTTATGGTATAACAGCAGGGATGGGGCTTGACTTGACTATTGGGACACTCTCCCCCCTCCCCTCCTTGTCCATGATGACCTCCTTTCAGAGATCCCTCCAGATATTCTGGAACTCCTATCTTCAGCACCTCAGATCCAGAGGCTTACCTCTTTAATATATGCATATGGCTAAGTACATTAAAATTGTATCATGGAATGTTAGAAGCCTTAATGACAAGTTTAAAAGGGACGGGGTCTTCTGATTTTTAAAATCACTTGAACCGCATCTCGTCCTCCAGGAAACACACCTGGATGGGGGTAGGATTCTGTCCCTGCGTAGGCCCTGCATTCATAGAGCCCTGCATGCCACCTATACCTCCTTTGCTAGGGGTGTCTCCATCCTTATCAGTAAATCGGTTCTTTGCACTATCCACCAGGTGTCCTCGGACCCGGGGGACGATATGTGGCAGTGGTTCATGATCTCTTTAATCATAAACCCATATATATCTACCTTCCCCATTTCACCCCCAATAGCTCTATGATCTGGTAACCAAACTATCTCCCTTTGCCCATTTGCCTCTGGTGCTTGTGAGTGACTAACTCCTCTCCTGGGCGAATGCGGCGAACCAGAGGTGTGGCATTGGAAGCACCCCTTGGACAGAAGTTATTCACAACAGAACCCAGCAATCTTCTGCAAGACTAGATATGGCTTTTGGCAAACCCCCTTTTTGTCCCTGGTACATGAGATTTCTTACTTGACAGGAGACTTGTCTGATCATACTCCATTAGCCACTGATCTTAAGCACGCGGGAGGTGTAGGTGTGTGTGTTTGGGGGGTGTCACATGGAAATTATCTCAGGGGTGGCTTAAAGTAGATCAGGTCTCAACCTGTATAGAATCAGCAATTATGGCCTACTGGTCCAATAATGTACCCCCCCTGTGGTATGGGATGCATTCATGGCTGTGCATCCCTGTGTATGGGATGCATTCAAGCCATTAAAACAGTGCGAGTCTCTGTTCACTCAAGGCAATAAAAATGGTAAGTTTCTGGCCTTGCTTGTGGTGGATCAGAGGGTCAACTCCTCCATACTATTAAGATGGCTGGGGGGGGAGAAATGACCACTGATCCATCGCAGATTATGGAAGAGTTTGTGCATTATTTCTCCACCCAATATTCGCCCATACCATCATATGATGCTGCCTCCCTAAGTCTTGCTGCTCTTAATCTTCCAGCACTTTCAGAGTCAGACAGGGAATTGTTGGAAGCCAAGATAACCCCCCTTGAGATTGAGGTGGCTACTGGGGCCTTTCCCTCGCACAAGGTCCTGATGGCTTTCCGGTAGACCTACACAAGACTTACCCTGAATTACTAGCCCCTAAGCTCTGTGCCTTGTTTGAGCACTGCTTGGAGCAGAAAACACTGCCTCCTTCAATGCTAGAGGCGTACACGGTTCTCTTGCACAAACCAGGGAAGGATCTCACAGAATGTGAATTATATATGCCTATAGCCCTGTTAAATACGGATTGAAAAATTTTGACCAAAGTCCTAGCTACCAGATTGGCAATGGTTATTCAGTCCTTAATAGACGTCAACCAAACTGGCTTTATGTCTGGTAAGTCAACCGACATCAATCTTCAAAAGGGTATTCACTCACCTCCAACTTCCCTAGGAAGATCAGTCTACTAGGGTTTTAGTATCTATTGACATAGAGAAGGCATTCAACTGTCGACTAGGGCTTCATGTCTATGGTGTTGGAAATTATGGGCTTTGGACCACTTTTTCGGCAAAGGATATCAATACTGTATAGTGCTCCCCAGGTAGTGAAAAGGCTTTGACTTTCAGTTTCCCCCTTCTTCCCCATGGGTAGGGGCACAAGGGAAGGCTGTCCACTTTTGCCTTTTTTGTTTGCGTTAATGACAGAGCCACTGGCTATAGCTTTGAGAGCTTCCCCGGAGGTGAAGGCCCTAAGGGTGGGCACCATTAAAGAATGCATTGCATTGTACACAGATGATTTGATCCTCTTTCTCAAAGACCCAGGACCATCCCTACAGGCAACGTCCTAAATAATTTTTCCACCTACTCTGGCTTGCAGGTACACTGGTCCAAATCGTCTATACTGCCTTTGGGCCCCGGGGCTTGAGCAAAATTAACCTCATTAAGATGAAAATACTCCCAGTTATCCTATATTTTCTACGTCGGGCTCCCACATGGGTTCTGAAATCATATTTCAGGAAACTAGATAGCCACATTAGCTCATTCCTGTGGTTTCCCTCCCCTCAACGGATAGGTCTAAAAGGTACTTCAGGAGCCCTGGGCCAGGGGAGGATCGGCGCTACCGGATTGGCAGAAATATTATCTAGCAGGCCAAATGGTGTTTGCCCACTGCTGGCTTTTGGAAGATGTGCAGATTTGGTGACAGTCCTGTAGGCAACGTTTATGGGGTCCTATGAAAGCCTATGGTTGGCACTGTTTAGGGGAGCAGGGTCTTCTCTTCTGCTCACAGGTTTCATGAAAGCCACTATCAGGGCTTGGAAACTTGCTACTAAACTGATGCAACCTGAAATGGAAGGGGTTTTGCCTTCCTCTCCTTTATGGATGAACCCGTAATTTATCTCGCTTCCACTCTATACTGTAGGCGACCAGAGTCATCAAAAGGGTGGGTGACATATTTCGAGATGGCAATCTGCTCACATTTGATCAGATAAATATAACCTTCCAAAACAATATTATTTCCGATATCTTCAACTATGCCATGCGCACCAATCTCAATTTAGCAACTAGACCATAGAGATTAAACCGTCGCTCCTTGAAAGACTGTCGGCAGATGATTTGCTTTCATAAACCTTGTCAGCGATGTATAAGAAATTGTTCCGAACATCCTCCTACAGTTACAATGCTGTAGGGAAAAATGGGAGTGTGGAAGTCCTGGATGTTCAGGGGGATGACTGGGATGATAAGTGGGACCACCCATTCAAACATCTGGTATCGGCTAAGGATAGATTAATTAACTTTAAATTCATGCACAGAACATATTATACCCCGGCCTGGCTAGCGGGAATATACCCCACTTTCTCAGCAGTGTTGCCGTTGTTCCCATTCCCCTGCTGATTTTACCCACATATTCTGGAACTGCCAGCCCATTACTGTTTTCTGGAAAGAAGTTACATTGTGCATCGCAAAGGTCCTCACTACCCCGGTTCCTCTGACTGTCTCTGTACGCCTCCTGGGCATGGTATATGAGGTGGTTCCAACTAATGCCCATAGAACCCTTCTCAACATTTTATTATTTTATGCTTATAAGGCTATTATATTGCACTGGAAGAATTCCACGGCTCCCAGTTTCCTTCCTGGAAAGGTCATGTAAATATGATAATCCCATACTACAAGGCCACTTACCTATCTAAGTGTTGTGCAAAGAAGTTGATTTCCTCTTCTTCCACGACAGGGTAGGCCACATGCTGAATTAAATTCCAAATACCTGATAACCTTATAAATATCCCTCATGCGCTCTTAATAGTAATGTCTGAGGGCCTGGATGAGAGATTTTACCTGCTTAATTTGCTTATGTTACTATTAATTGGGGGGGGGGTTGAGGTTCTTTTAGTTCTGTTAGTTGATCTCTGTCATCCCTCTGTTGGCCCTGCGAGGTCTGTATTGTGTTTAGCACCCTGCGAGGTGCAATGTTAAGTTTTATATCTGTTTTCATGCAAAATTGAATAACCAGTATTAAAAAGAAAAAAAAGAAGAAAGTGTTTCAATACCTGTAAATGAGGCCATGATGCCTCGAGAGTTGGTTCATCTTCCTCAGGATCAAACTCATTGCTGTCACTCGGAGGGAGGGTTCTAAATATATTGCAGGATACCTTGAAAAAAATGAAAAACACACACGCACAAATTAGTTTATTTTTCCAAATAAGGTAAAACTTGTACACTTTCAGTAAGCCTTCATTTAGCATTTATGTTCTAACATTTATTGGGAATTCATTGTCATTTTACCATTTGACTTATCAAATTCTCATGATGGTGCTTCAAGTGCAGACAAACCCCCCGATGGCTACAAGATCTCTCAGCATTGACGGCGAATGACCAAAGCCACTTAATGAGATAATTAGCACCAATATATAAATATGCACCTATATGAGCCAATGTGGCTTTTATTCAGAGGTTTTCATGTTTTTTTTGTGGATTTATCATTGCGCATCTACGTATTTCACAGTTCACACAGCTGTTAACTTGTAAATGCTAGTCTGCTTCAAAACTTGCAGAATTGGCACTTCAAGCAGTAATAAACCAAAAATCAAACATTTTAATACAGCTTACCAGTTCTTAGATGTGGTGGCTGCATTAGTTTACATTTTTAGGCTTTCTTCTTTTTTCATCTGGTAATTCAACCAACAAGTCTGCTGTGTTTCAGAAGCACAAACTCTCCAGCAGAATGTGTCAGTTTTCATGGATGAGACAAACCATTTACCACTGACGGGTGATTAAAAAGATCAGCTTTATTGATGTAAAAACTTCATCCTAAAAGGAAATAAACTGTTTGCTGTAACTGATTATAAAGCATGAGCTGGAGTTTGGCTTCAATTTGTTAGTGTATTCAATCTGATAATACATTTAACACTGCCCTTCCCCCAGACTGACAATGCTGCTGTCTGCTGTGTCCTGTTCTCATTCCTCCCGAGTGGTGTCTCACTAATACAGGAGGCATGTTACTGGCCAGATCACCAGGTGAAAGCAGAGGGGGAAAAAAAAGTAAAAGAAAAGAAAACTGATACAGCCATCACATCTAATTATTGGTATGCTACAATAAAAAATACATTTTTGGTTTTGGGTCCAATACCGCGTTTAGTCTCACAAGTGAGAACTGTATTACAGTAGTTTTAAACCCATTTTTTTAAGAATCTTTAGCAGCTGATTAAACAGAGTATGTAGCTTCTTCATCTTTTAATCCTTACGTATGTTCCAGTTTAAGCTGATGCAAAGATTACTGCCCCATATATCCTGTTTCAGGGTGACTCCTTTCACTTGCAGTGTCCTATGGAGCCACCCTCGCATGCAAGGACTACAGCGGTGAATCCCTACACTGTGTGTATCAAGAGAAACACATAACCTAGTAGCGTAAGATGGTTGTGGAATGCAGCTAGGCTACCCAAAAAGAAAAGTGTGTGTCAGTGTTTATGTTTCGTTTTTAATGTGCTACTGCTGTAGACATATATCCTCTCAGCTGGCAGAACACTCACAGAGCTCTAGTCCGGATCTCCTGTGGTCTGACATGCCTCCTGCACAATTACAACTAATGCGTTCCAATCAACAATGCACACTTCCCCTTAGCAGCGTTCTTTATTATAGCACTATACAAGTAGGGCGTGTGAAAGAATGCTGGTGATCCAGACTGCTACAATATGTGTGAGAGTAGCGTTCTGGATCTCTAACATGCTGTCAACAGAGTGGAGTTTGATATAGGCCTACAACAATAACACTTTAGAAAAAAAATTAAACATTTTAAGACACACACTTGACTATCAAACAGCCCGACTGCATCACCCTAATAAAACAAAGTTTCAACAGGACCTTAAAACTATATGAAACCTTACCTTGTAAGACAATCCAATCAGTTTAAAAACAAAATGTAGGGCAAACTTTTGCGTACAAATATAAAAAAAAACAAAAAACAAAAAAAAAAAAACAAATACCTTTCTATAAGTGATCAAATGACCTCTGTTCTCAGTTGCATAAAGGGCTTAGAGAGTTGAGGATAGAGACTGGGGGGGTTGTCAGCAGAAGGCAAGGAGAAAGTAGTACACTGATCTTCCCAATGAAGAACTGTGCAGGGGGGGCGTGTCAGCACAAGTCTTGGCCATTGGAGGGCAGGCTGTGCTCCTAACACAGCCAGAAAACCAACAATGCTGGGATAAATGAGCTCTCAAGCCTAGCATGGTCAGTTTTAAAATAGGAAACCAGAGGTACAGTCAGGATCACCAGGTATTTCACAGAAAGGAAGAAATGCAAAGAAAACAGGATAATATTTAACACAATTACATGGTACAATAGACACATCAGGAAAATGAAATGTAGGGGTAAGCATACTCTTTAATTCGGACCTAAAGTACATTACTGAAAATTAAGAGAAGGCTAGCTTTCATGAACCATAGAACAGATTGGGACTTGATCTTCCAGTTCCCATGAGTCACCAGGTAGGTGTAAGAGGGCTGTATTTAGCCTGAAAAAAATGTTGAGTCTGACACGCCTATCCCAAACAAATGCAAGTTTTGCAAGTTAAACTTAAAATTTAAAGTGTTACTAAACACCGGACCCTGCAATCACTATATTCAGTCTCCCGCAGTACACAGATCATGAAAATGCAATTATTTTAGTAAATACAGCTGCATCTCAACAAATTAGATCATCAAAAAGTTGATTTCAGTAATTCAAAAAGTGAAACTCATATTATATGGATCATTACACACAGAGTGATATATTTCAAGCATTTCTTTCTTTTAATTTTGCTGATTATGGCTTAGCTAGTCAAAACCCAAAATTCAGTAACTCAGAAAATTAGATTACATAAGACCAATAAAAAAAGGATTTTTAATACAGAAATGTTGGCTTACTGAAAAGTATATCCATGAACAGCAACAGCATAGTATGCACTAAATACTGGGTCGGGGCTCCTTTTGCATGAATTACTGCATCAATGCAGCGTGGCATGGAGGCGATCAGCCTGTGGCACTGCTAAGGTGTTATGGAAGCCCAAGTTGCTTTGATAGCGGCCTTCAGCTCGTCTGTACTGTTGGGTCTGGTGTCATATTGACCTTGACAATACCCCACAGATTCTCTATGGGGTTTAGGTCAGGCAAGTTTGCTGGACAATCAAGCACAGTGATACCGTGATCATTAACCACTTGACCTCCTGAGGATTTACCCCCCTTAATGACCAGGCCTTTTTTTGCTACTCGGCGCTGCACTAATTCAACTGATAAATGCGTGGTCATGCAATGCTGCACTCAAACGAAATTTATGTCCTTTTTTTCCACACAAATAGAGCTTTCTTTCAGTGGTATTTGATCACCTGTGCGCTTTTTATTTTTCACGCTATAAACAAAAAAAGGCCAAACATTTTGAAGAAAAACAATATTTTTTACTTTCAGCTATAAAAAATATATAGTAAACTCAAAGTTGGTTATAAATTTAGGCCAAAATGTATTCTGCTACATGTTTTTGGTAAAAAAAATCCCAATAAGTGTATATTGATTGCTTTGTGTGAAAGTTATAGCGTCTACAAACTATGGTATAGATACTGCAATTTACGCCATTTTTATGCTATACAGCGCTGCGCTAGTTTAACGAACAATTGCGCGGTCATGCAATACGGTACATAAATGAAATTTACATCCTTTTTTTCCCACAAATTGAGCTATCGGTGGTATTTGATCACCTGTGCGGTTTTTATTTTTTGCGCTATAAAAAAAAAAGGCTGACAGTTTTGAGGGAAAACAACAATATTTTGGACTTTTTGCTATAAAACATGTCCAGTAAAAAAAAAATTTAAAAATCAAATTTAGTCATAAATTTCTGCCAAAATGCATTCTGCGACGTCTTTGCAAAAAAAAAAAAAAAAAAAAACCCAATACGTGTAAATTAATTGGTTTACGTGAAAGTTATAGCGTTTACAAATGGCAGGAAAGATGCTGGGATTTTTAGGGGTTTTTTTTTCATACTAATAATGGCGGCGATCAGCGACTTATGGCGGCGATCAGCGACTTATGGTGGGACTGCGGCGGATATTCTGACATTGGGGCTACTGACTTGGGGTCACTGACATCCCAGTGACACCAACCCCCCCCCCCAGTGACACCAATACAGTGATCAGTGCAAAAAAAAAAAAAAAACCACTGACACTGTACTAATGGCACTGGGGAGGAAGGGGTTAAGTTTATTTTTCAGGGAAAGGGTTAACTGTGTGAGGGGAGTGTTTTACTAGGGGTGGGGGTGTGTACTGCACAGGACACCACTGATTGGGAGAGAGAAACTCTTCTGTCCTGATCAGCTTGTCCTGGAGTTGTCAGGGAACTGACAAAGCACAGCTACAGCAGCTGTGCTCTCTGTCAGGGATTGCCGCCGATCGCCGGGACATAGCCGGTAAGGACCGGCTGTGACCCAGCGACTGACATCCGCGGCTGTGATCGGCGGGACGGGTAGGGCGGCGGTGCGACCCCTACCTGTTTACAAAACACAGGTGTTACTATGGTAACATTGTACTACTTTGGACATAGTGAAATATGAAAAAAAATCTTAAAAAAAAAAGTAATAAAAAATTTAAAATATATAAAAAAAAAAAAAAAAATATATATATATATATATTTTATTTCTTTTTTATTTTTTTTCACACTGTCACTAGTCAGTGTCCCTGATCACCGCCATGCCAGTTATATGATGATGCTGTACTGCACTGGTGACAGTATGTAAAAAAAAAAAATTGTGAAAATAATTTATTTTTTCATTTTCCAAAAATTATGACAAACAAATGCAACGTCACAAAACTCGCCATGCCTCTTATGAAGTACGTCGGACTGTCTACTTTGCAAAAAGGGGTCATTTGGGGGATATCTGTACTGTTCTGACATTCTTGGACCTCAAGAAATTAGATCGGCTGTCAGTACTTCAGTATTGATCAATATTCAGATCTATACCATAGTTTGTGAACTCTAAAACTTTCCTACAAACTAAAAAATACATCCTAATTTGGGTTATTTTCACCAAAGACATGTAGCAGAATACATCTTGGCCTAAATTTATGAAGAACAATTATTTATTTGCAAGCTTTTATAACAGAAACAAAGAAAAACGTGTTTTTTTTTTTCAA